ATTTAATAAATATCTTTAATGTCTTCTCTTGGTGTATGTGAATGTTAGTGGACATAGTAGTTATTCTTTAACGTCTTCTCTTGGTGTATGTGAATGTTAGTGGACACAGTAGTTATTATTTAATGTCTTCTCTTGGTGTATGTGACTGTTAGTGGACACATTAGTTATTTTTAGGAATGAAACATGTAGCTATGATTGATCACATAATAGTTTTGCTTGAAGCTCTAGTAAATATATCATAATAAACATTTGGCTTCTGATTTTCAAGATTATTCTAATTCGGCCTGTTGGGTATTTGTTAACAACTATTGTGCTAGATATTGAAAATAAGCAAGGAATAGATTGGTCATCTATTCACGCTAAAATAAACTGATTAAGAGAATTTTCCTTTTAATTGGTTTTGATGACTTTAATTGGTTTCGGCGCCAGTTGAGATAAAATATTTAAAAACAGGGTACGTGTTTTTATATTTACTGTAATAAACTATAATTGACAACACATGATTTTAAAGTAAAGCGAACTAAAAGTGGTGAAGTTTTTCCTTCCATCCCAGGCAGGATTAAGTTACAAAGCCACATGAGGTGACCAAAAAACCCTCAAGAGTAGTAGATTAAGCCACGTGGTCTGTCTGTACATGTACCCTACTTGAGATGTATACCAGGAACGAGAGAAACCAACTATTTTTGGTGACGTTTCATTAGGGTTAATACTGAAAGCAGGCAGCTATGTGTTTAAACACATACATCTATACACGACTGGTACGTTTAAACATTACACGTTTTACAGTACAGAGCTTAGTCTTGAAAAGCACGTTTTGTATTTTTTACATATTTTACATTCTCTTTAAAAATGTCGTTTTCGGCCTTCTTTCTTCTGAGGTTTTTCTCTTTCTAACAAACACACACACACACACACACACATATATTCTTTCGTAAGCACATTGATGATCGCTCAGTATAACATAATTAACGACATCCCTTTTTTTCATCTTTATTAAAAGTATTTTACTGTAAAGAGGGTTTTGTTTGAGGAATTTTGGTCTTTATAAGTCTCTTCAAACGTTACTATGTTAACTCCATACAAGCCTCATACACAAAGCGTTTATACTAGAACGAATCCAGTGGCTTTCAATGATGATTGATAACAACTTTCAAGCATAGAAAAAAATATCCAACTACATATGCATATTTGTACTAGCATAGTCATATTGACAGACGTGCAAACATATGATACAAGTCGTTCGTGGTGTCCGTAGTATGGTTGGACAGGATTAGGCATGAAAGTTCAGTGTTTATCATATGTTCAGTAAACGGACTGAACTCTTTGGAATATTCTAGAAAGTTTTAACTCTTACTAAGAAAAACATTTTACTTTAGGCTTTACTTAATGGAATTTAGGGCTGTCATCGGTGTGGCAGCGGGGTCACCATGTTTGAGTCATTTTGTTAAGAGAGAGTTTTCAAAAGTATAAATAATTAAAATCTGTCAGTAATCGTCCGCGTCTCTGCCTCACGGGAATGACCACGCTTTTCATCCAAAAGGATGTTGCAAAATTCGAAGAAGGTTGAATTTCCAAAAAGTTGTCGAAATTTTTGTAACAACTGTAAATTAAATGTGAATTGCCACAGTCTAATAGTTGATATTTATGTAAAAAAGATGTGTATGTGAAAAATGTATATTTCTAAGTGTACTCGGTAAGACAAGTTCTTATTTTCATGTTAACCTGCAGTTAAATACCTTGGGGGGAGGGTCTCAGAGTTTCGTTCATCCATCTGAAACTTGTGAAAATATAGATCGATCTAAATGTTTTTCGGGAGAAATAAAATTTGGGAATTATTTTCCATTAAATCCTTGTATTCTTCTATAACGATCAAGATACATTTAAGACCATGAGACAGGAACACTAAAAAATAATACATTAAAATAGTTAAAAATATTAATGCGAGTGTTTGTTTACATTATAAGAATCTTAAATATCAAGGGTAATGTAAGAGACTGTCTGAAGCTTGGAGTATATGTTTGAAAATTGTTTATGTTTCACCTTATCGGGGCGTTGGGATAATTTTAATGTGATCTTAAAGAAAACGAAGTTTAGGGGTAATTGCGTGGGGAAGTAAGTGTAATGGTTTGATGTTTTCATTTACATGACGTATAGTGATTATCTTAAGATATGTGTATTGTGCTGATGAAGAATAAAGTATGTATGTTGCCCTCGTGATGCATAAAGAATGTGCACTGTTCTCGTGAAGCTTAAAGTATGTGTATTGTGCTCGTGAAGTTTTGTAGAGATGTAAATCCAAAACGCTGAAATAAAAAAAATAATTGTGAGAAAAGTAAGTTTGAATGTTTGCAGCTTCCTCCCCTTTACAATCGTAAAAAGTGGATTGTGGAACGTATTGTGACTGAACATGATATGTGATGTATATGCGGTCTGAATAGTATAATAACTTGTATTCATATTTTGGATAGCATGTGAAAGTGGAGTTATATATATTGAGATATTAGAAATTCGCCGTGTCTTCGTAATATTTACTAACGCTTATTTTGAGCGTTTATTTCAATTTAGATTACGTAGAAACACGTATGTTTTCAAAATTGTACTTATAAACAGCTGTAGCAAAATATGTTATAAACTCCAATAGATAGAATAATTCGTGAATGGGGCAGTACAGAAACTAAAAATGGTTTAATTTGC